TAGGTCATTATATATTCAAAATATCAAATATAGAATAATATTTTGTAATTTATTAAACATTGTGGCAGTATCTGATATTACTTCTATATTACTTGTTGAGATCAATATGGATAGAATATCAATTGGATTTATATTTGTTAATAGTTGTAATTTGAATATTAATGTTCTTGCTATAAGTATATTTAATAAATATAATATTTTTATGAGTTCTTGGATTTTTATATCTTTTTTATATTTAGTGTGCTCATGGCTATTTTTTTCATCTATTTTTAAGAGTACTTTGGTGTTTTTTTTTTTTTTTTTTTTTTTTTTTTTTTTGAGCTTACTTTGGATTTTTTTTGAGATCTAAGGATTTCTTGGTCTTATTTTTTTTTGATGGACATATCATTCTTTAGAGCCATGCTCCTACATACTATTGGTTTTTTATGCTATTCACTAATAGCCTTTTATTTTATTGATTATACAAAAAAGACTTAAATGACTATCTCCAACATGGTTGCCAAAATGTTACGTCTTAGGATCAATTGATCAAAATAGACTTGGTACATTAACTATATTATGAATGCAAACTTAATTACTTTTTTCCACTCAAAACGTAGTTAAGATGTATTCACTGCCTTAAACTCTCATCACAATGGATGACTTTTATTGTAAGATTTGAAAAAACTTGGTTGGTGAATCTTGCTACTACAATAATGTTGATTAAAAAAGATTATCAAAAGATAGAGTTGCCAAATTTAATTGCAATATCATAGTTTACTTACAAACATGTAATACCATTGATCAATATCTTGTCAAGATGTGATGCAGCAGTCAATTATTGTGCAGGGTACCTAAATATTAGAGAGAATTTATTCATCATACTAGCCTTAATTATACGATTCTTATTTTTATCTATCCTACCTTAACATCTTTACGATTTGTTAGCTTCAATCTTTATTACTTTAAGTTATGAATATATTATGATTGTTCATCTGTTGGATATTTGCAACTTATATAAGTATATTTAGTATTTTATTTTAATCCTCTCTAAATAAAATAAATTTTATAATTAGTAATTTTATAATTAATCATAACTTTTAATTAAGATTCTATTAATTAAATAATTAATTTAAAATTTTGACCTTTTAATTATAGTTTTATAATATATCTATATTTTATTTTCTATTATATCTTTAAGTTCTTAAAATCAATCTAATAAATTTAAATTATTTTAATAATCAAAATAATTAATAACCTACCATCAATTATAAATATTTTATTTTTTTATATTTATTTATATACTACCTATTTTAATACATTGAAAAAAATTATTTTATTATATATATATATTGAACTTTTAAATTTTTCACCTATACATTTATTTGTACTACCTTTTGATCTATACAAATCATCCAAGCTTTTGCCAATAGACTTTCAAAGTTGTCTTTTTCACAAATCTGTTATTGAACCTGCAAGGTGTGGTCATTAAATTCTAAAAATCCTTTGTGCTTTTTAAATAGAACCTCTATAGTTTCAATAAATTGTCCAAGAATCACACTTATTTGAGAAATCAAAACAAACTATTAGGCTTGAATTTTTTTATTTATATACACCAAAAGTTTAACAACATTATGTTAGAGGACAAAGGTAAGAAATTAAAAACCACATAGAATACACCACATTCACAAAAGCAGTGTTATTTTTCAAAGCTTCAATTGCAAGCTTCTAAATTCATGCGTAGTAATCTTGTATTTTTCTATAAGATGTTTTTCTAAGGCAACTTCTAAGATTGAGTTGTTTATTTCATAAAAAGGACAACCAAAAAATATTAAAAAATAATAATATAACCTTAGAAACACAATTAATACATAAACGGATAATTCACAACCTTTATGATATAACAATATTTATTCACAGAAAAAAAAAAAAAAAAAAAAAAAAAAAAAACCATCAATTTTAAAGATAAATAAAGAGTTAAAATTTGAATTTACTAAATGAAACACTGAACAAATCTAGTTGCATGAAGTTTATTATGTTGGATCTTTATTACAGATTTTGTAATCATATATGTCTCTTATTCCCGACCCCATTCCCAATCCCTGTTCTCAACCCTGTTTCCAACCCCATTTCCAACCCCCATTTCTAACCCTGTTCCTAGCCACCATCTCCACCCCTCATCTCTACCATGTGCCAACCTCACCCCTATTCCTAATCCTACCATGTCCCAATCCCACCTTCGTCTCCAACCTTACCTTGAAAAAGTGATATATACATATATATCACTTACTTTGAGATTATATTTTATGAATAATTTTTAAATTTTTATGTTTTACTTTCAATTTAAATATAAACTCCAATCCTTACATTATTACAATGTTTTTTGTTATATTATAATTAAAAAAATATATGTATTTAATGCACTTTACACCTTATACTTGAAACATATATATATATATATATATATATATATATCTATAAACTCAAACACACTTCTAATATTAAAATATCTTTTATTCTCTTGTGGTAGTTGAAGAAATATTCTTTTTTGCCTAAAACCTGAAGTTTTAAAGAATTGCAAATAAGCCTACATGTCTTACCTATTAACCAATAAATAACAAGAAATCCTTTTATTCAGCTTAGTTTTTTTGTTGTATCACTAATCTTGTACTTATTTTTGTTAAAAAAATAATTTTTAATCCACTATAATAATACAAGTTCAAGTCATACATTGCTAAATAGAGATTCATGCTTCTCCTTTGCAACTATAAAATATTGTAATTTTTCATGTTCACTAAAATTTTCTAAAGCCACAAATTAAATATTACATTTTAAAATTTTACTTTTATCAACACAATTATAAAGAAATAAAATGTAAAAATAAATACCTTTGAATAAATTATTTATTGTTTAATATTGTATGCATATATAAAAAATAACAAACTTGCAAAGTATTAACCTCTTGCAAAAACTTGTTTTATTAGAAAAAAGTATAATTGGTTCATTGCCAAATTAATAATAATAATAATTCTCTATTTTGTTGATGTTGATTTTAATAAATTGCTTAAAAGAATACAACATAATTTTGTTATAATTTAAATAATATATATATATATATATATATAGACAGATGGGGTAGAGACTTCTATAGAATTGGGAATGGGGGTTGGAATTGGAGTTGGAAATAGGGAGTGGTGACAAGAAATACGTACAAAATAGATTATGAGGTAGGAAGGAGGTGTGGCTTTAACAAAATTGGAGTATAGCTTTAACAAATCCTTATGTTTGTATATATATATATATATATATATATATTAAAATTATAATTTATGTATGTTTCAACTTTTTTTAAAGTAATTGAGAATTTAAATACATAAATTAAGTTTTACAGTAATAGTTAAATGGTGTACTTAATATTTATCATCAAAATAAGATAAGCATCTTAATACAAGTAATAATTTTTAAAACTTTTATTGTATATTTATCTATTCAGTTAATAATATTATTAATTTAAATTACTATTTATAATTTTATATTTTTAGATCTTTAGAGTTTAATAATATTACAATAAAATACTATTCAAATACATTTATTAAATCTTTATACAGTAATAAAGAGCCTATTTATTCTTAATGATTCCATAAGAATACATAGGGTTTCTTTACAAGAATAACCTTTATTTTAAATTTGTGATAAGATATGGTTTTTCTGGTGTAATATTAAATCCTTTTGATTTTGTGACATATTAGATAATCAAATATTTCGACTGTTTATTATAATTCAAAAAATACCTAATAAAATATTAAAATTAAATACTAAAATTTAAAAAATATCTTTATATCTTATCTATTTTTTAATAACCATGTAAAAAAATCAGTAAACTGTAAATTATAATCACTAGCTTGTATCAATATAAATAAAATAAATAATTTAAAGTAAAAGAAAATTTAAATTTACAGAAGTTAAAATTTAAATTGGAGTAATTATTATATTAATAAATGTATATAAGAATCATCAAAATATTTTATAATATGATAAAGTTATAACATCATCTACAAAAATAGTTTTTGATTAAAATTTATCACTGTTATCTTTGTCATTTATAATTGCAATGAAATATAGATACAAAAATTAAATAAAGTTTTTGTGTCAAATTATGTATATGTTTTTGTACCAACAACCTAAAGGTTAAGATTATATAGTTTTTAAAATATACATCCAAAAACAAAACATCACAGTATTTGGTGGCCACTAATAATGCACTTCCAAAATGCAGCGTTCATGGTGCTAGAGGAAGTGCATCATTGCTAGCCACCAAAGGGAAGATTCCTCGCTGGATTGAGATTTGCACAGTGGATTTTGCAAGGGAGAAGAAAAGAAAAAGAAAAAAGAAAAGAAAATGAGGAGCTACTAAACTGATGGCTGCCACGCTCAGCGTGTTCCATCTTCCACATCGCAATACGTTCATGGACTGGTGCGTGATGTACCCAACAACCCAAAATCGAGGGACGAGATTCCTCGTTGATTGTACCGCATGAAGTGGAGTGGTGGAGTGGAAACAAATGTGGACGTTTGCTTCGCGATTTAGTTTTCAATTAAGCCTGTAAATATTCCCGAGGGAGGTACTATTCTTTGTTTAGCTCGAGCTGCCTCCGAAAATCACTATGACGTTGAAGCAAGCCGATGAGATTCTCCCGTAAATTGGCGAGAGATTTGCTGCTAGGTTTTTCGAGTGAGATCATTGCTGCTTCCACAAAAAAGAAAACCTATGGCGTCAGCTTGGCTGCTTTACTGGTTTGCGTCATTTTTGGTCTGTTCACCGTGGTAATTAAGATGGGGCTTTCTTCAGTAAAATTGATTCAGGGATTACGTTAATGTCGGGTGAGAGGGTGTGGAGCGTTTTATCTAAAAAGCATGAGGCATGTGAGCTGCCATGTTTAATTTAAGAAAAAGATCAGGAGCTTATGAATGTCCGCGGGACCAGAGTCCAAAAAAATGCAGACAGCTATGGACGGTATCCGTTATGAGTGCGAGCAATGGCGGTATCCGTTGTTGTGTGCTTGAGTTGAGGTACATTATCGATCAATCCGTAGCAGTGGTTCCCCTGCTCAAAATCACTCTCGTTAGAGTCTATGCAGTCTGAAGAAGAATTTGCAGATTTCTAGGGGTGCCAATAATTCATTGCAACTCATTTTCGATCTTAGATAGGTGGAAAGAAAGGGATGTGAAGTAGTCTTTGACCTGGATTCCTACTTGGTGCACTGGAGATAGTTATCACATTGCACTGACATTTTTTTGCAGTTTCTATTTGTGGCGCGTTACTGCAGAATCGCATGTGGAAGCGAACTCGTCTGTATCGTCGAACGTGCTAGGATACCTTAGAATTGCAGTGGAAGCGCAACGACAGGGTGTAATTCAAACTTGTGTTGAGAACCTCAACACCTTCTATCGTTAGATGCTTCACGGGATTTGGAAACCAATTCAGTTCCGCGGAACGGAGGAACGATGATCCGCGACGTGTTGACCCAGGGGATAGTGAAAGAGTTTCAGCGCTCTTTGAGCATTGACAAGTCGCCGCTGCGAGAAATCACCAAAAGCTCACTTAGATATGGGTTGATGGCCGGACGTAATTCACACAAAGCAGCGATCAACTGGGTTTACGTCTTCATTGCTATTTTTCTCACGCTTATGGCTGGAAATTCGCTCTACCACTCTTCCATACACACCGTGCAATCGGCAGTATCGCCATCGAACACTCCGACTTCGCATTCCACCGCCATCCACGTCGCGCATCTTGCCCTGAAGCTTTCTGAATTGCAGGAGAAGGTCCACAAAGCATCTGTTAATGCTGAAGTAATTGTCAACAAAGGCTTCGCATCTTCCTTACCAACTGCGCTCGCGGATTTGAAGCTCGAGAGAACTCGGAGCTGGAATGTGCTCGAGAAGATCACAATAGAGCTTAGCGAAGTAGCCAAGGTTGTTGAGGAGCTGAAGCAATCACAGTCCGGAAGTCAGAATCCGATAGATTTGCATGCCAATGAATTCTCTGACTATGTCTCCAAGGGCGACATTGGGATTGCGTCTGTGGAGAATGCGAGGCCAACTACTCCTGTGCAATCGCAAGAGGGCAAAGAGAAGAACTCGGACCCCTTTTACGACTTCTTCGACCGGGAGGAAATTCGCAATTACATCAAGGTAGTAACTCTCGCATCACAACCCTACAGAGTTTTTGGTGTATGTGGGTCTTGCTGATACAGTCTAGTTCAGGGTTTAACAGATAGAAGCTTCTCATGCCCTGTGTCGGAGCAGGTGAGGGAGAATCGAGGAGAAGTCAAGAACTTCATGGGTGTGAATGCAACCTACGGCACAATCGGACACGCCTGCGTGACCAACAAAGCCCTCCTGGAGAAGTACATGGATTACGACATAGGGGAGGTTTGCAGGGACGATTGGGTGATCGCTCAGCAGCTCATCATCCGGGGATGCGATCCTCTTCCACGCAGGCGATGCCGCGTGCGGGGTCCGAAATCGTACAAGCCACCATTTCTCTCAAATGCGTCCTTGTGGACAATTCCCGCCGATGAAAACATCCGGTGGGATAATTATTATTGCAAGAATTTTTCATGTCTTGCAGATTATAAACATCGAAAGAAATTTTTCAAATGCAGTCCCTGCTTCGACTTACAGATCCTTGAGAAGAAGCGCTGGGTGGTACCGAATACCACCGACGCCGAGTTTCTAATCAAGGATGTCCTCGCGCTCAAGCCTGGGGAGATCCGCATCGGGGTGGACTACTCGATGGGGACCGGCACCTTCGCAGCGCGCATGAAGGAGCACGACGTCACCATTGTTTCGGCGACGCTTAACTTAGGCGCGCCGTTAAGCGAGACGATTGCCCTTCGTGGCCTCGTCCCGCTCTACATCTCAATTAACCAGCGCCTTCCGTTTTTCGACAGCACTCTGGACATTGTACACACCACTCTTTTTCTGGATGGGTGGATTGACCACCAGCTCTTGGATTTCATCCTCTTCGACTTCGATCGCGTCCTACGCCCAGGAGGCCTACTTTGGCTGGACAGATTCTTTTGTTACCAGGAGGAGCTCGCTGAGTATGTATTCTACTTCAAACGTCTCCGTTACAAGCCGCTCATGTGGGTTACCATTCCGAAGGTCGACAAGGGGCGAAATGAAGTCTACCTCTCTGCTGTGTGGGAAAAACCCCTCACTCCATTCTAGAGCAATGCACTATTCAAATGATCACCAACTCGACCATTTCCATCAGATTTTTCCCCTCCAATTGTAGTATCTCTGCCTCTGTCGCTGACCGCGAAGACGGAACAATACGATCGATAGACCAAAGTAGACATTCACGGCACACAAAGGCCTCTTTGATCGGTAGGTTTGTCAACCTTGCGTTGACGTTTGACACGTTGATGAGTGTTAAACTTGAGTCCGGAAAAATGTAAATGCATATCAGTGCATCTTCCAGTTTTGTGGAGAAAACTTGGAGCGGAAGTTTCCGGCGTTGAAGTAAAATTTGCCTGCCTTAAGTGGGCGTGTATACTCCTTGTTTATCCAAACCCCTGTGGTGTTGTCAACTCTGCAGTTCATCTTTGCACACCGTTTTTTTGTTTTTTTTTGTTTTTGTTCCTTTGTGTTTTCATATTCTATATATATGAAACAATTATAACATATATTGTTTGATCACGCACATTTTATAGTATTACTAGTGCACATTCATACAAATCACAACAAAAACAATACAGAATTGTAACACGGATTGCAAATCAAAACATTAAAATCCACACATTATCACTGCACGCTTCATCGAGATAACATGTACACAGCACAAGGTATAAATAAAAATATATCCACATATGACGGTTATTCCCATGAGCTACGAACCCTGAAGCAAGTCTCCCATTCTAGAATGATTTGCACACCACCGACTTAGTTGTTCTTCAGATTCTTCCAACAATTACGTGAACTGTCACTGAAGGATGGACGCCATGCTAGTGCACAACGCAAGTTAGGAACTGGGTCTCTGCTTTGGAGTTCATAGCAAGTCTACATTTTGGTGTTTGTTTGGTTTAGAGTTTTCTAACGCTAGCAGTGATCCAGGCACAGTTAGTCAGACGCAGTGATCGCATTGTATCACTGCATCAGCTCGTCCTCCTTGTTTCACATTCTTAACCACCAAATATGAGATTCATGACATGGTTGCTGGACTGGTATTGAAGGTGAAAGAGATGGTCCGGGGAGCAAAGGATTTGCTGTGCACAATCTGGATCTTCTTCACCACATTCTTCAGTCCTACCGGGATTTTCCAGCTAGCTCTGAATCGCTCAGGAGTCGTATCACAGCCTTCGACTACGTGACGAAACAATCCAGGGTCTACCATGAGATTGCATCTGTCCTTGGCAGAGGTGATGGCAACCAAGTAGTTGACAAGCTTGAACTTACTGTGGTGATCACACTCTACTTCCCCTCCTCGAAAACCAACGATGTTACCTCTACTGTCGGCACCTGCAGATCCCCACCCAGCTCCACCACCTTCAATGTTCTGTGTCTTGCTTCGATACTAAGACAAAGTGGCATTGATAAGCCTGATATGGACTGGACTGAGAACTGTTGCTTATCATGTATGGATAGAAAAAAGCTGTACTAATGAAGAGAGGTAGTTGTGAGGCACATCGAAGACATTGAGATTATTATTGTTAATGATATTGTTAATGATACAGAGCAAAACTTGATAATAGAGTATGTAACTTCTATTAGACATAATGTAGAATGGGGGGTTGACACCACTTGGCCAGTTGACAAGTTATAGCCACCATTTGTTGGTGGTAATACCATTTAGCTCCCATAGCCTATTCAACTATCATGTAGCCTAACAAGACAAATCTCCATATGTTAATTGGACATCATTGATTGGGCTAGTTGTTTGTCTGTTTTTACTAGAAAGTCCATATGGGTAGACATTGGACTAGTACTATAAACCAGAAGTTCATTTTGGCAAGCAATTTTAGTTTTCTTCTCTTCACTTATTTGTACTTCTATTCTAGTAATATACTTCCTCATACTTTATTACATGGTATTGTATTCCTATCTTCTCCATGCACCTGTTGCCCTTCTTCCATAAATTGGACAAATGCCCTAAATAAATCATGGACACCTACCCCACTTGGTAATGCAAACCCAGGGATTTGATCTCCCATCTTAACTTCTTGAGATATTTAGTGCCTTAAGGCTCTCTCAGTGGAAGCACCAATATGTCGGAGTAGAGAGAATTTGCCTCAAGAAAGCGTTGGGCTTCTAGTTGCCACTAAATACTCAATCAAGTCTATGATATAAAAATACCAAGTTATATATATAATATTTTCTCTTTTTCGGCAATTACATCAAAACACAAGCCCAAGTACCAAGAAAACACCCAAATATATGATAAAGATCTTAAAACCTTATATATCTTTATGAGAGATGTTTTTCCAACTTCAACAGTCCATATCTCATGATCGGACCGTCCAAACAACCCTAAGTTTTACATAAAGTACTGATATACTTTCAAAAACTTCTACAATAAAATTCAATGACAAGTTCGTTACGGATCTTGAGATATTGCCAAAATCCTAACAGTAGCTTTAAACCCTAGCTTACATACACTCGTGTGCTAATTTCTTCATATCTCACAAAATAAGTACTCAAATACCATGAAAATTTGATTTATAGCTTTTTAAATTAATAATTCACACTTATAGAAATTTTGAGCCAAAAATTTGCCAGAAACTCAAGATATGGCTCCTAACATTACTATCAACAAAATGACTCATTTACTGCCTTTGAATTACATGTGCTATCTTCAATGTCCTATAACTCCTTCATCTAGACTTGGAATTCGTCAAAGAATATATGTAAAGTGTATCTAAGAAAAAGTTCTCTCCAATTCTAGTTGCCGATCTTTCATTGCTCTTAGTACGCATATGTTATGCTTCAAAGAGTGATAGTAGGTACAAATTTGACACATTAACTTTGAACATCTATATCTCCTTCAAAAAAACTTGAAATCATACAAACACTTCACCCAAATTATACCCAAAACCCTGAACTTGCTGAACTTAGCCTTCAAAGCTCGAATGACTTCGAAAAAGAAACCCTAATCCCTAATAAGGCCTCGGGCAGCCTCCTTGAAGCCCATTGGGCATAGCCTTCGACCAATAGGAATGAAGATCCCCATTCCTTGCCTTCATCCAACCATGCCTTGCTTTCATCTCTTCCAATAAGCCTCTTACTAGTTAAGATTTTCTTCTTTAGGCTTTAATCTCCTCTCAAGGCTTTATACTAAACATTTAGGTCTTATAATTTTTTTAAATGCTATAATCAATATAGATAAAATTCAAAATAAAGTTTCTTAAATCCACTCTCTTTAAATTAATCTATTAACCATTCTAATATATATCTAGATTTATTGACATATAATATATTTTGATTAATTTTTACATACTGTAAATAATTACAATACGACAACGTAATTAAGAATAAACTATCAAGAATGTAAAGTCTTAATTGGCTATTGAAAAGGGGTAGTCGAGATCATCTTGCTAAGAATGGACTATCAAGAACTAGAATTTGGATTAGCGAATTGAAATCTTTGTAGATCAAGACTTCAAATACCAAACTTGAAGGAATTTAGGGAGTCTAACAAGTCCAACAACTCCAAGGACTCCAAGAAGATTTACAAGTTAAATTTTTTTAAAATTAAATTGACATATATTTACCAAAATTAATATATCTTATTCAATTTTGAGAATTTAAATTTAGAATTTTTTAGAAGCATTGGTAGTACCATAATACATACCTCTATTTTTTAAAAAAATTAAAATTTCTATAAAGACTGAAGTAAAAGGCTATATAAAAACATATTGAGTCTCACATTGATTTTATTTTTATTCCTTCTAATTTTTCTTTTCTTTGTTCTATTATTTCTTTTAACTTTAGCATTCTCATTGTATCATAGCAATGGAATACCTCATCATAGAAAAATTTATCAAAGACAATTAGCACCTCTATAAGGAAAGGATTAGATTTATTCTAATTAATAAGGGATTGTAGAAGGTTTTATGTAGTAAATATAAGAAATCCATAAGATCATCCCTAGATTTAGCTAAATTGAAAAAAAATTAAAAGATACAAATAAGCAATCATTATTTATGATTTGTTAACATCTCTCTAGTTTAGAATTCATAACAATAAGCAAAGTAATAAGCAAAGATGCTGCATGAAAGAGTTTGAAAGAAACGAATGAGATTAAAAATATGTCAAGCCTATTATTTTTGATTTGCATATTTTGAACTAAGCAAATAAATAAAGGTGACAACATCGTCATATACATAAACAAATTATAGGAGATGATTGAGTAACTTTCTTCAATTGAAGAAAAAGTTTTAGGAACACATTTTATCTTGACATTATTAAAGAGTCTTCCAGAATCATATTATATCCTGGTAGTATCATTAGAAACATGATCTCTTGCCAAGTTGACATTAATTATGATCTCAGCTCAGCTATTGCAATAAGAGTCTCGTGACAAGAATGTGAAATTGACCTTTGAGGTACCGTTGGCTGTAGAAAAAAAATCTAAGCCATATTCTCATACTCATATTCATACAAGATCTTCACATGATCATGAAAAAGATACCAAATTTAGATATTTTGGTAAGAAAGATCACTATAAGAAAGAATATTAAACCAAAGAAAAAGATAATAAGTCAATAAAGTTAAAAAAGATTTTTTTCAAAAGAATAGGCTAATATAATAGATAAGAAAGATAAAAAAGATGATGAATCTGTCTTTATAGTTGTGTTATGTAGCACTATAAATGATAAAGAATGATACATTAATTTTGGTGCTTCTCAGCATATGACAATAAAATGAAGTTGATTTTTAAATTATAAAAACTTACAATAAGGCCCTAAAGTCTATTTGGGAAATGCTATTGGACTTGCCATTAAAGAAAAGAATAAGATCTCTTTTCAATTTCCAAAAAATATTCAAAAAGATATACATGACATCTTGCATATTGAAGGATTTGTCAAGAATTTGCTTTATATTAGCAAAATTTTAGATCAAGATTATGAAGTCAATTTCAAGGCTAATATATGTCTTATAAAATAAAACAACACAATCATAAAAGGTACTAGTCATAGTAGCTTGTACAAGCTATTAGGAACTTTGGATGAAGATAGAAATACTTCTCTTGTTACAGAGACAAAATAAACTTTGAACAAGGTTGATCTCTAGCATCAACGATACGATTACCTTGGCATTTTAGGCTTGAAGAAGCTACAAGCAGGTGATATGGTCACTCGTCTAGATATAAGCAAGAACACAAAGTTGGAGTTTTATAAAAGATGTGTTTATAAAAAATAATGCCATAATACTTTTTCAACAAAAAATAATTTTTATGTAACAAAATTCTTAGAATTGATATATTTTGATGTAAATAGTGTTACAAAGATACTATTTCATGAGGGAATAAAATACTTTGTTATTTTATTGATGATTTTTTAAGAAAGATTTTTATATAATTAATAAAATAAAA